CACACACACACACACACACACACACACACACACACACTTTGATATAAATAACGAAATGAGCAGAGGCGACCTCAGGAGGCTCCCAGAGTTCCCTGTTGTACGTCATCAACATCACTTGTTGCTTGGCAATAACACACACGACTGTCTCCACCTTCCTTTGCCCCTCCCCCCCAAAAATATTCTTTGGGAGGGACTATTGTGCCATTACAAAGTTACATAACTTGACAAAAACATTGATGCCATGTCCTCTGTTAATATGAGGGTCAATCAATGCAAAGTCGCCTGCAGGCTTTTGTGTGTGTGTGTGTGTGTGTGTGTGTGTGTGTGTGTGTGTGTGTGTGTGTGTGTGTGTGATGGAAACAGCGGTGGAAATGGAAGGCGGGAGATGTCAATTCGAAGAGGGGGTGGGGGGGAGAGAGAAAGAGAGAGAGAGAGACAAAAATCGGAAAGTCCAAAAAGAGATGCCTCATAACATCCATGTGTCCATCCGTCATAAGAGCCACTCATTCATCAGTCCATTCAGCCGTTGATAACTATTCAGCCATCCATCCAGAGAGGCCAGCTGTGGGACATGGAGGAAAAAGGAGCGGTATCCGGTATCATGATTTTAGAATTTGAAGAGGACGTGGCGCTGACGGAGGTGAGAGACTCGCACTTTCGGCAAACTTAAATAACATGCAAACATTTTAAATCATGCTGAATGTGCATAACATTTACATGCTTAGTGAATTGTGCGATGTTTTATTTGTGTTGTTTTAGTTGACAATGCAAGAATTATTGAAGATGATCTTATTTAGTCATACTACAAAATATTTAATCATTCTCTTATTATAATAATAGTGTCTTGGTATAATCACATCATATTTATTTGATTTACTGACCCTGCCGCAAATGGCGAAAATTCACAAGGAATTGACACTCCCCCAAAAAGTTTTAGAATTGCCTATAACTGCCACAAGATGGTGGAAAAGCAGAACTTTTGTTTTCATTTTAGCTTCTTAACTTACTTCAACATTGTCATTATACAATAATGATAAAACACTATTTATGTCTCAAAGAAGCTCCTCAATTCACTTTAACATTCTTGCTTGTCGACAAAATGCCTTAAGATACTGAAGTAGGAAAAGGCTACTTATGTCTAAATGAAGCTTCTCAACTCACTTCATTCAGAGTTGCTTTGCACCATCATGCCACAAGATGGCAGCGAACCATGACTATAGTCGAAATTACGCTCCTCAACTCATTTCAACAAGAGATGCTACAAGATAGGAACAAAATACTATTTTTCTCAACTCAACTGTATTTATAGAGCACTTTAAAACAGCCATTGCGGTATACAAAGTGCTACACATGGAGAAAATATCACACATACAACAATAAAACAATCAATTAATAACAAAGACAGTAGATTTGTATCTAAATGAAGCTCCTCAACGGGCTTCAAAATAGTTGGTTGGCACCAAATTGCCGCAAGATGGCATCACAGGTCGACTTTGTCAAAATGAAACTACTCAACTGGCTTCAAAATTGACCCCTGGCAAAGAGATGCTACAAGACAGTGGCAACTTCTGTCTCAATGAAGCTTTTCAACTTACTTCAACAGAGTTCCTTGGCACCACAATGCCGAAGGATGGGAGCAAATCACTAATTTTGTCCAAATGAACATCCTTAACTTACTTCTTGCAACCAACGCAACACAAGATTTTTGTCTAAATGGAGCTCCTCAGCAGACTCCAACATACTAAGATGCAACAAGATGGCACTCGTACTATACAAACGAACTCCCTCCATTCACTTCATCATAGTTCCATGACACCAGCATGCCAAAAGATGGTGGAATGTCCAACCCAGCACAGAGCACAGCATGTGGCTCACGACCAAACGTGACAGAGCGAACGGTGAAAATGAATCGGGTGGCTAAAGACGTTGCTGTGATCCCACAGAAGATGCGTATGCGCGTGTCGTCTCTTCAGTGCTCGGGCCAAAAACGGCAGGACGGCGAGCGCCTGCTGCTGCCCCATGAGGCCGTCTACCGGCTGGACTTCCAGCGGCAGGACCTAAGCTTTCGCCACTGGAACGTGTCTCTGGGCGGGTGCGGGCGTGTCACCATCACGGGGATCTCGCAACACTGGACGCCCGACCTCACCCACCTGATGGCGCGCCAACTTCTGGAGCCCGTCGGCACCTTCTGGCGCGGCGCCGACGACCCCGACGGCTGCGAGCTCAAGTGGCTAGAGGCCGACATGCAGGAGTTCGGCGAGAGAATCGCCGAGCTAGCCAAGGTCCGCAAGGTCATGTACTTCCTGTTCGCCTTCAAGGACGGCGCCGAGGCGGCCAAGTTGCGGTGCTCGCTGGCCTTTTCCTCCCTCCAATGAAGCTTGCGTTCCGGGCAGTCGAATAGAAGCAAGCACTCGTGTCGTAAAACTGATGACTTGTGTATGGAAAATTTGAAATAAATCTTACATAGGCACACTTGTATTTTCTTTTTATGAATCGTGTCTGATTTTTATCATGCTATAATGAGTCATTTCTTATTTATTCATAATATAATTTCTCAATTAGCTCAAATTTAATCTCTTTTTAAAATGTGTTAAGATTATTCATACATTGTAGTTATATACACACATTTTAGATTTAATAATGTCTTAATTAATCATGTAATAATTTCTTAATAAAATCTCATTGAGTCATGTTGTAATCATTTTTAATATTTTAATTAAATATGAGTGGCACGGTGGGCGACCGATTAGTACGGACGCCTCACAGTGCCGAGGTTGTGGGTTAGATTCCGGTCCCGCACTTCCTGTGTGAAGTTTGCTTGTTCTCCCCATGCCTGCGTGGGTTTTCTCCGGGTACTCCGGTTTCCTCCCACATTCCAAAAACATGCATGACAGGCTGATTGAACACTCGAAATTGTCCCTAGGTGTGAGTGTGAGCGCGGATGGTTGTTCGTCTATGTGTGCCCTGTGATTGGCTCGCAACCAGTTCAGGGTGTCACCCGCCAACTGCCCGAAGACGGCTGGGATAGGCTCCAGCATGCCCTGCGACCCTTGTGAGGATAAAGCAGTTCAAAAAATGGATGGACGGATGGATTGATAATTAAATTTCACTCATGTCAACACCCACACACCCACACACACTTTTCTTCATATATTTCATTTGTGTAGTGTGCTAGCTTTCATTCGTTCAGCGTAAAAAATGAGCGAGATGGCTGACCTTCTGCCAAAGGCCTTCTTTTGACGCTAGGGTGGAGCAGGCTGCCACGAACCAACAGTTTCCCAGCTTGCCTTGGTGGAGGTCATGCGCACTCAGGCCATCCACAAAGAGGTGGGGATCTTGACATAAGTCCTTGTCAAAGTTGACAAGTGGGAAGGAAAAGTCAATATGAAGGTACCGGTACCTTTAACGCCTGCTTCCATTTTTTTCGTTGGCTTGTACGAGGATGTCATCTTTGTGGGCGACAGCATGGCGATGCCGTCACTCAACCACGCGAAGTCAACCCGCACACATTCAGTCACGCACTTTCTCAAACACTCACTCATTCACACTTACACTCTTTCCCTCTCACTCCCTCTTACGCACTCACGCACACACATGCTCACTCTCACTGACTTTCTCAATCACCTACATGTGCACTCACTCATTCACACATTCCCTTATGCTCTTACTCACTCATTCACTTTGACTTTCTTACACACTCTCTCGCTCCCTCTCTCTCAGCCCCCTCACACTCTTAAACACACTCACTCACTCACTGCATGTACTTTGTAATTTTGTCTCATTGGAGTAAAGTTGTATAAATGGTGAATGGCGAAGGCGGACCGGCAGCGATACCTTCGGCCTCTTCCAGATGACTTTGCCGATGTGGTTGCGCTTGTAGAAGAGCGACTGGTCTGTGGCGGGGAACAGGGGGTCCTCAAACAGGAGGCCATTTTGGCGACACTGCTTCCGCAGGGCGGTGAACGACTGGCCCTCGTAAGCCACCACCATCCTGACGCTTCTGTGAGACACACACATACGTCAGCAATTATGACAAAATACAGATTTTTTTTTAACTTTTTTTTTTTAACATTTGTACAAACAAAAAGATAAGGCAAGGATAGAGGGTGTGGCTTCAAGTAGCCACCGCCCACTGCACGGATGTTCAAATGTCAGCATTTTTTCGGGATCACATGACACCAAAATAGAACTTTGTTTGGCTTGTCTTGTGACCACTGAAAAAGGAACTTTTTCCGCTTCAAGTGGTTTGGAGCCATGTTAAGTAACACGCAGGAGGCTGACAGCCAAAAGAAAGCTGTGAAAACAAATCCACCTACAAAATAAACAGGACTTAAAAGCAGCGCACAATAGTATCATCAACCATCTGCTCAAACTGTCTTTAAGTGAAGGTAGGTTAGTGTTGTGTTCAAGGACCACCTGATGAAATCTGACTGCCTTTAGGTTAATGTAAATGTAAGAAGCTGATGGTGTATTGAAGAAGTAATTGAGTTTTGTTTACTGTTACTCGTTTGTGGTGCATCTGAGGTCCTTCTGATAAAATGTGATGAAGGTTACTGAAGGGCCACACTTACGTAAACATGGTGAAGCTTCATCTCGAAGTGAAGTCACGCTTTTAGTGTGCAAACGATTTTTAATCTAGGATAACCCCCTCCTCCCCCCATACCTTTGACTAAGGTCTTCGAAACATCTTTTTTTTCTTGTAGTAGGAACCAACTCGAATTCCTTTACTTTCGTTTTAAATGTTAGTTTCTGTTAATGTGTTTAAATGTTGTCAATGTAAATTATTTTGGTAATTTTTGAAAGCTACTTTTGATTCCTCTGCTTTGCTTCTGAAAGTCGCTGTGAATGCGTGTAAGTGTTGAATCTTTTGCTTGTGTGAAGCACATTGCCTTGCCTTTGTTTAGATTTAGTGATTGTCAGTAGACGTGCTGGAGAGTTGAAGGACAATCTAATCACATGTGACCAAATCAATGTTTACATACAGAAAACGCAACTTTCTTTCTTTTCTCTACACAAAACAAAAAAGTAGTTTTCTGTTGCATATGATTAAAAAGGGGTTAACGGATGTAAAATCTCCAAGAAAAGAATCGGGTACGTTAGTTTTAGTTTAATACATTTGAATCACATGCAACCGATGCGCACATTCGAAGTTACGTAATTTTTTTTCAATTGTGTCACATGGAGTAAGCTGGCGGCCAACAGGAAGTTGTAAAAACAAAATTTAAAATTAATCAAAGAGGTGTCCAAATGTGCCATATCCTACTGGCAGGTGAAAATAATCTGAACCAAACCACCCCTACTACAATGAAACACAAATTAGCGCCGAGTCGTCGCTTTTATTTTGAAAGCTTGTCTTGGAAGTGGTCTTGTTTACACGAAGTGATCAATAAAAACTCATTTTCAAAACATGTGTCACATTCTTATAAGTGTTTTTTTTTTCCGATGTCAAAATTTCTTATTTAACGACTGCGGTCCATGTAATTCACCTTAGAGTGACATGAACTTGAAGTGTTTTTTTCGATGTCAAAATGTCTTGTTTAACGACTGCTGCCCATGCAATTCACTTTCGAGTGACATGAACTTTGTCAACGCGACACAAGTGAAAGTAAACTCACATGGCAAAGAAAGAATTTTTAAACTAACCGTCCAGATCTAGATTAGCTTAAAAAGTTTGCAAAAACCAGGCGCCCACCTCAAAATGTGGCTGTGACGTCAGCTGTGCTCCTTCTCGTCTTCGCTACCAGGACAACACTTCGTCTTCTTCTTCTTCGTGTGGTGAGGAAGACGATGGGATCAGAGCGTTGCTCTCATCCAAGAGAACGTCAGTGAGTTCGCAGGCACACGACACCGTTACAAGCCCACCGACGACCACACCAGCGACAAGCACGCCTCCTCGCGCATCTGGAGGCAAGACAAGAGCTGGCGCCGCGTTCAAGGGCTATATGACAAACTGGGACCTGACAACTGTTTCAATGGACGTGATGACGTCGGGCCTGCGTTCAAGGACCATATATTGTATTAAACTGGGGCCTAACAATCATTTCATTGTACAGTATTGTAATGAAGCCGGCAGTGCATTCGAGGGTCGTCCGACAAAATTGGACTCTATGCAGTGAATCTAGTGGTACGATCAATGGCTTTTTAATTGGTCAGTGGTTTGATTCCAGGCTCGGGGCTTCCTGTGTGGAGTTTTCATGTTCTCCCCTTGCCTGCGTGGGTTTACTCCGACCTTCCAAAAACATGCATGGCGGGTTGATGGGGCACTCCAAATTGTCCCTAGGTGTGATTGTGAGTTTGAATGCTTGTTCGTCTATGTGTGGCCTGCGATTGGTTGGCAACCAGTTCAGGGTGTACCCCGCTAACTGCCTGAATCCGGTTGGGATAGGCTCCAGCACGGCAGCGACCCTCGCGAAGATGAGCAACTTGGATAGATGAATGCTTAAAAGTTGGTGATGCGTTCAAGGGCCATCTGAGAAAGGTGTACCAAATGACTCTAGAAATATACGATAAAGTTGAGGTGCGTTCATGGAACATATGACAAAATGGAATCAACATTCTGCAAATGAATTTAAATTATTAAATTCATGGTGGGTTCGAGGGCCATATGACAAAATGAATCTAAAGACCTGTATGGGTGTATGTAATGATGTTAACGACACGTTCAAAGATCATATGTTCAAAATGTTACCAAATCACTGTATGGAACGTGTGTTTTGAAGTTATAGGTGTATTCAAGGGACATTTCACAAAACGAGACTGAGGACCAGATGACAAAATGGGATCAAACAACTATCCAGTCTCCATCCATTTTCTAACGCGTCGGGGCAGTAGCTTCAGCAGGGAAGCCCAGAATTTCCTCTCCTCATCTCCCTTTTCAAAATCCTTCGGTGGGGGGGGGGGGGGCCCAAGGTGTTCCCAGGCCAACCAGTAGACATAAGAGTCTCCAACTTGTCGACCCCAGGGACTACTGCGGTGGAACATACCCGGAACACCTCACCAAGGAGGCGTACAGGAAGGCATCCTAACCAGATAGCCAAGCACACCCCAGTAGAGAAAACTCGTTTCGGCCACTTGTATCCGGGATCTTGTTCATTTGGTCACGAAACCACAGCTAGTGACTGTTGGTGAGGGTAGCAACGTAGATCAACAGGTAAATCAAAAGCGTCGCCTTTCGGCTCAGCTCCTTCACTACGACAGAACGATACAGAGTCCGCATCACAGCAGACGCCCCACTGATCCGCTTGCCGATCTCACGTTTCATCCTGCCCTCACTTGTAAGCAAGACCCCAAGATACTTGAACTAATCCACTTGGGATAGGATTGTATACCCTTTCTAGAGAAGGCACACCACTCTTTTCCGACTGAGGACCATGGTCTCAAGATTTGGAGTTGCTTGTTTTCATCCCAACTGCTTCTTACTCAGCTGCTACTGCTCCAAGCGAGAGTTGGAGATCACGGTTTGAGGAAGCCAACAGTACCACATCTGCAAAAAGCAGACATACAAGACTGAGATCACTAAAACCAGAACCCCTCACCACCTCGGCTGTGCCAAAAACTGTCCATAAAAGTTGTGAACAGAATCGGTGACAAAGGGCGGTCTTGGCAGAGTCCAACCCTCACTACAAACAACGCACACTACAATAAAACAACCCTTGAATGCATCACTAACCTCAAAACATACAGATATATATGTTTTGTAAAACATACAGATATATATGTTTTGAGGTTAGTGGTGCATTCAAGGGTTATCTGACAATATACTATCAAACAACTGAATACAGTATAAATTGGTGGGACATTCAAGGGCCCTCCGAAATAACCGAACGGAAGACGAGATGTAATGAAAAAGCTGGTACGACCAAAGATAAGAGATCGAACTAGTGTAACACACTCATGTCTGATATCAGGGATTTGGAATAAATGCTCAAATGGCTTGCCATAAAAAGACCACAACACCAAATGGGACAGAAATACTCTGGGTGTACAGCATTCACGAAGTTATCGGTGCGTTCAAGGACCATTTGACAAACTACTGATTGTCAAGGTACATATGACAAAATGGGGCTGAATAACGGAATGAATGTAATTAAATTGGTGAATTCATTGACCATTTGGTAACTGATAGAATGAGTGCGTTTCACGTCTTGTGGTTCTACTGTGGTTGGTGGTGCATTGATAAAATATGACCGACTATGACTCAGTCAATGTAAGGTGGTTTGGGGTCGCCTTCGATGACATTTGAGAAATTGGGTCCAAATATAGAGAAACTCGTCACGTTCATGAAATGTGTTTCACCATATCGACCACTAGATGTCAGCAAAGGCTGAGGAAAAATAAGATCTTGAGGCGGAGGACATGGATGTCCCTGCGTACATATTAATCTTTAACATCTTCATCAGTTTGTCATGTGAGGAAGTTGCACTTTACACTCGTATGCTTCCAGCAAAAGACGGAATCATACACGTCAATGACAGGTAAATAAAGAACAACCCTTTGATTGAACTCATATTTTCATGACAATATGTATTTTTGTGTGTGTGTGAAGTCTTACTAGCATTGTTAAGACTCGTTACGCTAATTTAATTTACACGACTGAATTGATATAATTCTTTTATTGTGAAATGCATTCTCTTAATTACCCCAAAATTTAGTAGATTTTTTTTTAAAGCATATTTTTAATTTGTGTTTCTTTATTGACATGATTTACAGTATTTTAGTGGTATTGTTCCTCCTGGATGCCATAATTTTCTTCACATCCTTTGATCAGTTCTGTACATTTAAACATAAGATATTCAACTTTTTTAATTGCAAAATTGTAAATACTTATTTTCCTGTTTTGTGTATTTTTACACATGTCTCTATTTTTGTGTTGTTGTTTTTTTTTTTTAATCTAATTTATTTTACAACCATTCACACCGGGAGTGCTAGAATCTGTCTGAAAGTTTAAAGTAGTTGTAGTTAAAGTGGATACTTTTAGTCAATGAGTGACCGTTTAAAAAAGAAAAAAGATCTCACTGTGTCTTTTTTTGTTTTTGCTCATGTTATAAACTGCTGACTTCCAGCTTTGTAATGTTGGCCTGCTGCTTCATGATTTTAACATTCCTGGATGTGTCGACCTGTCCCGGGATAGCGGAACAGCCCAAGGTCCTGATGGTGGCGCGCACCATTGTGGTGATCGGTCACCCACAAGCAGAGATGACTGTCAAGTGTGGCGATGATGGCAATGCAAGTTAGTGATGTAATAAGTCAACACCTACTTTCATTTAATACAATCTAAACAGTTGGGTCAGAAATTAACCCGATTATGGGTCTAAAATGGACCAACCAGCACTAGGGTCAATTTGACCCAACTTTTTGGGTTATTCATTTAACCCTAAAAAGTTGGGTCAAATGAATAACTCACAAAATAACACAAAACATTGACTTGCTTTCAACAAAACTAGTTGAAAAATTGTGTTTTCTGCAAAACAATCCTGGAATTAGGTTGTGGATTATTCATTTGATCCAACTTTTTGGGTCAAAATAATCAGGTTGTTTTTTTTTTGGCTTTTGTTAACATTCTTCTGTTTTAATTCTTCTTAGTGTCCCATCACTTAAGCTGTTTTTCGAACTGACCCCCATCAAACTGCTAATCGTTCCATGCCTAGTTATCATTTGTGCCTTCTTTCGCCAGCCGGTGTGGTGGTGTACTGGCACACCCCCTTCGGACCTCTTTTCACACCTGGCCTCCACACCAAACAAGACCCGGTCCACATGAGCCAGGATGGCAGCCTGGTGGTCCACAATCTGAGTGACCTCCACCAGGGTTTGTACTACTGCCTGCTGCAGCATGATGACGGGGGGTCTGCGCTGTTCCCCTACCAGCTACACATGCGCACGCAAGATGGCGGACGTGGTTCAAGGTTTAGGAGGGGGCTGGAGAAACAGGATGCGGTTTCTGACGAGCTCTTTACGGGAGCCGTGACGACGGCTGTGCTGCTCACCTTCATATTCGGGTTCAGTGCAGGAGCTCTGAGCAGGACTAAAATTCTCAGGTGGGACAAACATTCTGTGTTTCCTTCTATAACATACCAAATGGAAACATGTAGACATTTTTTGCACGTATAGACCACAAATTTCAAAACCGTTTAAAATCAAGCAGCTATCATTGCGCTCAAACACTATGGGAGTGTCTGCCGAATGTGCTGAAACTATGCCACGCTCAACTATATGACCTGTAAAAATAGATGCTAATTCATCTAACACCTGTTTTATGTCTACAAATGTTTGAGCAGAATTTATCCCACTGGGTAATCGCCGGACTTACACACCGCAACAACGAGGCGCTCTAAAGTTGTCAGGCCAGCACAAAGCCCAGGTCCACACTGTCAAGTCGGACTTAAAAAAATAATTAAAAAAAAAAAATCCAAATTTCTCCCCTCCTCACTCTTCCATCTTTCTCTGCATAACATGCATGGACTCATGGCCAACAACGTGGTGCTCTGAAGCCGCCACACTATGTTGAAGCCCCTGTCCACATGCTGGCTGTCATGTCGGACTTCAAAATAACAATTTTTACCTCGCACTTCTGTGTTTCTGTGATCTGGTTGGACTCACAGCCAACAACTCGACGCTCTAAAATTGCCACAACAGGCCAAAACCCTGGTCCACAAGCTGTGAAGTCAAACCTCTCTCGCATGCGGTTTACATGTAGTCCATTTGTGGTCCGTTTGCATTCCAATTACTGTCCACGTGTAGTTACTACGTGTCGACCACACGGAGTCCATTCATAAATTTGTCCACGAATCCACTTCCACCACATATCATGCAAAGTAGATTGAATAGTCTTTTCTTCATTAGCCAACCATGCGATTTCACAAACCAGACAGTAGGTGGCAGTGCATTATTAGTCCTATCATACATGGTATGGATAAAAGTATTAGGACACCTTCCAAGGGAAAACATCTTGCAGTCTGAGCAGAACCATTCAAACTCAGACATGTTTGCTTCTGCAGATGTATGAAGGCCGTCACTAAGCGTCTACCATCACTGCGGCAACATACACCTGACATCACCATGACACCGCTCACCAGCTGGCCTTCATCGCCCTCCTCACCCTCATCGCTGTCATCGGTGTCATCTCCACCTGCCAAACCTCAGAGAAGTTTCCGGGACAAACAGAGCCAGGACGAGAAGGAGGTGGACAATCTCCACGCCACCTACCAGGAAGCCTGCGACCACGTGGATGACGGGAAAGGAAGAAGAGCATCTGGAGGAGGAATTGTGGATGAGAAAAGGAGGAGATGCAAAAAGGAACAGGAGGAGAATGTGCAGGAAGATGGATCTTATGATGGTATGATGGATAAAGGTGAGAGAGGAGAAGGGGATGATGAAAATAAAGGAGGGAAGAAAAATGAAGACGACAGAAAAAACAGAAGTGATGAAGATGAAGATAAGGATGTAATCAGTCAGTCTTCACATTCACAGAATGCTGATCAAAATCAGGAAGTAGAATCATCTTCTCCACACCGTCCAAGTCGGGTCATCCGTGTCTATCAGTACGACCAAGATGGCCTCCGTTACGGCCACCTCCCCGACCCTGACCCAAACCCTTTACCCAAACTTAAGCAGCGCTCAGTCTCCCTAACCCACCTCAACGCCATCATGGCCACCGCTTCATCGGGACCAATGGATCCCACCCCCCAAAAGACGCTCTTTGATGGACAGTTTTGAATCAGGTCATAGTGGCCAGGTGACAGCAGGAGATTCCACTGATCCAATTTAGAACCACTTATTTTTACTTGTTCTTCCATTTATGATCCTTTTGTCGTCCACTTTTGATTCACCTTTTCATCCATTTGTAGTCCTAATGTGATTCACTTGTATTCCACTTTAGGTCCACTTATCATCAAATAGCAGTCCGCTTCACTTACGATCTATGTGTAATCCACTTTTGGGCCACTTATGATCCATTTGTAGTCCACTTGTGATTCACTTATAAGCTATGTGTACAGTATTCTACTTTCGGTCCACTTACGATCTTTTTGTAGTCCTTTTGTAATTCAATTATTATCTTTGTATATTGCATTTATGATCGGCTCGTTCCTACCGACTGCTGTCAGGGTGCTGAATAAAAATAAAATTACGTGAAAAACAATTGAAAAGAGCACTGCCACCTTATCTATATCTATATTTATATAGCACTTAATTGAACTATGTACATTGAAACTGAAACACTTATTTTTGTGAATGCAAACACTTTGTTTTTCTTCTTCTACCCCCCAATTTTGCTGCTGTAGACTGTAAATTTCCCCCGTGTGGGACAAATAAAGGATATCTTATCTTATCTTATCTTATCTTATGATACATTTGTTCTCTTATGATTCACTCCATTTGTAATCCACATTTGGTCGGCTTATGATTCCATTTTCAGTCCACTTGTGATTCATTCATGATCCAAGTGCAGTCCACTTTTGGTCTGCTTGTGACCCTTTTGTAGTCTCTATGTGTAATCCAATCTTGGCCCACTTTTGATCCATTTGCGTTGAACTTGTATTCCACTTGCAGTCCATTTCTGACCAAGTTCACTTGCAGTCGACTACTGAATTGCTTTTATTTCATTTGTGATCCCCTGATGGTCAATTTGTTTTTCACTTGTCCACTCATGATCCACTTCTCTTTTGCCTCTTATGATCTACTTGAATTACATTTGTGGTTCACTTGTGGCCATTTGTGAGCCACTTACAGTCTGTTTGTTTGAATGTAATCGACATGTATTCATCTTGTGGCCAACATGTATTTTTACTTTCATTTGTACTCCACTTGTGATCCAGCTTTAATCCACTTGTATTATACTTGCAGTCAAGTTGTTTTAACTTGAGGTCCACATATATTGCACTTCTGGTCCTCTTTCAGTGCACTTGTTTTCTACTTATGTCAAACTGTATTACACTTTTGGTCCAGTTATGGTCCAATTCTAATCCACTTTAGTCACTATGTTGTTAATTCAAACTAAAAGATAAACAAGAATGATAATTCTGCATTCTTAAACAAAAATGCAATATTATGTAAGATATGTAATATTTTATTCAATACTGTATTCAAGTTCTTGTACAACCAGATTACATTGAGTGAGAGTAAATGTAAAACTGGATCTTGCTGTCAATATAATAAAAAAATAATAATCCCCATCACTCCATGTGTGTTTGTGTACAATGTGTGTGTGTGAGTGAGACTGTGTGTATGTGTCTGATTACACCCCCCGCTAGTGCTTTAGTGTGCCAGTGACATGGGTCAGTGACAGTGAATGAGTTGCTCACATGACTGTTTAATGGCGGTGAGGAAGAAGAGGGAGAAGTCATACGCTCTTGAAATACACACACAAACACACACACACACACACACACACACACACACACACACACATACATATTCACACACAATTGACATGGCATCTTTGGAGATAGCAGGAGGACAAGAACCATCTGGAGATTAAGTATCAACCAGGAAGAAGTGAAGGACATGAACGGAATGAACAGAAGACACCTGGGAGTAAACATCTGAAGACAAAAGATTAAAAAAGTTTTTTTTCCCCCTCACAGTGGACTAAAATTTATTTTTCATTTCCTGTGTCTTCATCATCCTCTGATTGGCACATCATGAACGGTGAGAAGAACTCAAGTTTCTCAGATACATGTAAATGGTCAACTGCACCGCATCATGCTAAGAGCTGTGCCTAATATTTGGGTATCTTTCTGTCTATACCATCCATCCATTTTCCAAACCGCTTATCTTTACTAGAGTGATTCCCCAAAATATTGTTTAGTGAGAGATCATCAATTATCCGATATTACTTAATTGGTCCGAAAATCATTAATTTACTAAATACATTTATCACTATGTGTGACAGATAGTGACGTATAGTGACAGGTAGAACAAAGAAATGCTCTTCCTCTTCGAATGTTTGTTGTTTTCACATCGCCCCGCCACCGCTACGGTAGCCACTTTGTGGAGTGATGGAATTTCAGACGGCATCCAATCAGACACTTTGTTGCCCACACACAAAGACAACGTGAACGAATACATCCAAACTCCTTTCACATTGCTTGGAAAATACTTTTTTTCTGACTTTGCTGAAATGTGACGTTCACTGTGATCCTAACATAAAGCTAACATGCTAAAATGTGACTTTCACTGTCATGCTAACTTGATGCTCACATGCTAAAATGCGACTCACTGTCCTGCTAACATGATGCTAACATGCTAAAATATGACTTTCAACACAATGCTTATCTTATGCTAAAATAATGCTAACATGCTAAAATATGACTTTTACTGTCATGCTAACTTGATGCTCACATGCTAAAATGCGACTCACTGTCCTGCTAACATGATGCTAACATGCTAAAATATGACCTTCAACGCAATGCTAAAATGATGCCAAAATTGGACTTTTCAACATGATGTTAAAACGTGACTTTGAATGACATTCTAACATGCTAAAATGTGAATTTTACTGATCCTAACATCCCAAAATGTGACAAATAAGGCAACACAAAGAATGTTGCCTTACAATAAAGATGACCTTGACCTTGATCTTGACCTTCATCATTCCCAATCACTGCGTTGTTGCCCAGGCAGTGTTTTAGTAAAAAGACAGGCTCAAACAAAAAGTTGTATTTAAGTTGCCAAAAAAATTCAAAGGATCAAAGTGACAGCTCATAATGGCAACATCTATTATACACACACACACACACACACACACACACACACACACACACACACACACACACACACACACACACACACACACACACACACACACACACACACACACACACACACACACACTGTAACTGTAACCGTGTCCAATCTGAATAATACATGGACAATACGCACCGCAATACAAAGAGCAAATAGGTGTACAGTAATTAGCTTCATGAAGCGCAATATCATCTGACGTTCATGCCAGACAAAAATGATGACTCAGCAAAACACAAACATTGTATGTTGTAGTTTAACGCATTTCTTGCTCCACTGGAGTGTAGTTGGAAATGACAGATTCAGATTGAAAAAAAACCCTACCACTGGGAAGGTTCCATCACATTTCCATCAACACAGCTGAAACAAATGTCCAGCACAGACCACAGAATGACTATAATGTTGGTAGTCATGTCATAAAATGAATATATGTGCACTATATTGTATGTCCTAACATATGCTGCGTGTTTGTCAGAAGCAGCACACTTCTGTTGATGTCCTGGGGAAAAAGGAACAAGAGCCAGAATTTGAATCAGAACAGAAACTATGGTCATCCTGCAGCAGGTTAGCACGCACACACTCACAAGTCTCTGTGTCTGTGTCACCCTGGCCACCCCAGTGAAACTTTTTGGTTCTGCCCTTGATTGGAAAAATGTGTGTGTGTGTGTGTGTGTGTGTGTGTGTGTGTTGCACTCATTAGGGAGCAGAGTCATTAGGCTGCACTGTAACCTCTTTGTATTTGCTTCTTCATTTCTGTGTGAGTGTGCGTGTGTGTGTGTGTGTGTATGTGCGCGCGTGTGTGTTTACTTGTGTGTGTTTGTGTAGTGTGTAATCATGCATTTGTGTGTTGTCGGCTTCATCAAGTGTCAGTGGATGCATTGATGAACTCGTCAGTCTTTCTGACAGACTAATTTGCAGGGGCAGTGCCTCCCTTTGATTGGGTGGCGGTTAAGTAGGGCGAGCCAATAAAATCAGGCAACACACGCACGCGCGCGCACACACACACACACACACACACACACACACACACACACACACACACACACACACACACACACACACACACACACAGATCATTCAATGTCCTACTTTGTGGCCATTTGACTTATGTGGCCCCATTGAGTGGGACCGCAAGTGTTTAGTTGCTTCGAAGTACCTGAAACTACAGTGATTCCATTCTACTGCCGCACACGTCGTAACCATGGCGACCAAGTCCAAGAGAAGGGGCTCCAATTGGCCCCTGGAGGGCTGGGACCCCAACGTCCGCCGTCTGAGCTACAAGTACGCTACCGTCATCAAGGTAAACGCTTTGTGGAGCGTAGCGTTTCGTGTTAGCATTAGCACGCGGCTATTTGTCACGCCGTGACCTGTGTCTGACATGTCTATCTATATGCAAATGAACAAAGGAGTCACACAACCAACGATACAATGAGGCCGCTTCACTTAACTGCAGCAGACTGACGCACATCTGCATTGACGTGTTTCACCGGCAGGGGGCATGAACAGGTCGTCTGCATGCGGGCGTGTCTTGTTTCAAGTCAAGGGCCTGCACGTTTCATAACAGTGAAATGTGACTCTTATTTAATCATCCATTCATCCACTAATTTCCAGAAGTCCCAGCTGTGTAGATTAGGTGAAATACAATAATTATATGAAGTACCGTATCTGGTTTTGATTGTATTATTTTGAATTAATTAATCTATCGTTGAACTTTTTTCTAATGGCTTAGTATTTTAATTATACAGGTCACGTTAACGTAATCATGTTATTTTTTGTTCCTGTAATTACAATCGCTTTGATATTTGTTGTAATTTTTAAAAATACGTGTATTTTATGAAATATAATTAATTTCAGTTGTAAGACGTTCACGTTTTAAAGTGTACAGTATTTGTACAATTAATTCAATTATAAAGAACTAAACAGTCGTTTGATTTAAAAAAAATCTATTTTACTAACATCTTTGTATTCCTGGAATATAGTTTGAACAACTAATTTCAATTTTTAATTATATTAATTCGTATTGATTTAATCACAACTATTTCATCAATGTCTGATAAAATAAAAACAAATTAACTCTTTTGGTGAAAAAAATGAATGCAATCAATACTACAGGACTTGAAGCTTTTCATTCTAGTTTGCATTTGATACACTCTGATGAATTCGTACTGGAAAGCGAACACCTGCCTGAATAATTTATTTAAAGAAACAGATGCACGTGCCGTGCAAAATCTGGCCTGGGATCAGTGGACGTAAATGTGACACGCTTCATCGATGTTACTTTCTGCATAAAGCCAAGTATTAACGTCAAAATTGTTGATTCGTTACATTGC